CCGGTCGCCTTCTCTGGTTGAAAAGTCAATCACTAGTTTCCTTCTCCATCAAAGAAGACAACCATCTGCACCTTTTTCAGTAGTGAAAGTGACCAAATGGTCGTCTTCTTCAAAGAACACGAGAAGTCGACCATTTTGTCGCCTTATCCGATGGTCGCCTTCTTCAAAGCCTATCGATGATTGTTTCTTAGTCGCCAGTCGTCAGAGCGTCGTTGGAATTAGTTAGAGTCTCGCGAGAACCTTAGTGACTTGCAATTATAGGTCAATAACTTATTCTTAGGATCTAGTGCATGAAAATAACATGTTCATTAGTTTAATTGCAAGTTTTGAAAGCTCGTTGATCTAATTGACTTTTCGTATAAAATTTAGGGACTTTCTTTTTACCTTTTTTTTCTAAAAATTAATACGTAGACCTGAATACTCTGTGTGTGTATGTGCGTGCGTGTCCTTCGGTCTCCCATCCTTTGCTCCTTGGGACCCCTTGCCTTGTGGTCTCAATCCCTCTTTTACAAGCCTCTATTCAGCTTGGGGCGTACTCCACCTCGTAAGAGGTGGATTTACCTGTATACAGGAAACCACGCTCATCTACTACACTAGGCCGAGTGGTACCCTCCATTGTTGTTGTGTCATCCATATTTTTATTATGTTGGTCAACTTTGGGCCAATAGCGGGACACTAGGTCTTGTTAGGAACATTTTGTTTTAGATTTTGATGATATCAAATGATAGAAATTTTAGTCCCCAATTATTTTATTTTCTAGACTTAGGAATATATATGCTCTATCTGAATGGTACTTCACTACTTCGAGTAGTCACAATTCGGTTCAACAAATCAATCTAAATGGTGACTTGAATGGTCAGGTTTTAATCAGTCTCAATAATTGATTCGAATAGTGACACGAATGGTTACTTTCGAATGGCTCGAGAAGAAGAAGGCTAGAAGACTGAAGATTCGAAAAGTAGAAGACAACAAGACTGAAAGGTTGCAAAGGTCGAAAGGTGGAAGAGCCTACCTTTCGAAGTGATTAGAAGAACAAATGGTAAAGTCAACCATTTGTAACCGAAAGGTTGCAAAAGGTGGAAGGGTGGAAGGACCTACCTTTCGAGGAGTATAAGAGACTAATGGTAAGGTCAATCATTCGTATCCGAGAAGTTTAAGGTTCGAAGTGTTAACCTAGTTAAGTTAACCATTCGAAAGAACTGTTCGAGACATTCTCTGAGCTAACATTTCAAAACCTTAAATACTGAGCGAATGTGTCCAAGGACAAAGTGAGTCCTAGGAACACATCCCAAGAAAGATATTTCCCAAAAATCCTTGACATTTTGTGCTGGGAAAAAAAAAAAGATATGTTCAACGCAATTTCAGTCTTTAACGGCTGGAATGTCTGACAAGCTCACCTACCCTCCGGATTATCCGCTAGTCTCTATACACTTGTTCATAGCCGTTTGAAATTAATTTTTCGTCCAACGAAACTATTTCAACGTGCCTATAAATATCCTCTTCTAAGACTAAAGAAGATGTTGGTTATATTTTTTTAAAATTATCAAGTGTTCAAAAGCTTACAAGTACTTTCATCTAGTAACCAGTGGTTGAGTAAGAGAGACAAGCTACAACGTTAACATCTAGGGTTGGTTCCCATCATTCGGGCATCATTTTGGACTATTAGGGTGATAGTTTGTTCCCTTTGGTTTTCTTGACACGACTCTGAACCCCGGGAGGAGAAGATTCTCTTCTCGCCGACTGAGTAGTTCTTGTAAATCTTGGGATCGTTGGCTACTTGATCCCGTTATAAAATGAATGTGGTTGAGTTGAGAAAATTTTAAGAACACACTTCTCGATGTGGCTTTCATAAACGACAGTAATGATGATTTCATTGGACAAGACTCATCATATAATTGAATAATTGAGGATATTTTAGGGAACGAATACTATAATTAAATAAATGTGACATTGAGTTGCAAGTGTCCTTTCAATCTAAAATAATATGAAACTGTTGAGCTAAAAAATCGTGCCCAAGATACAAGTCTAGGCCCAATAATTGGGCTATTAAAAGATTAACGCATTAGGCCAAGTTTATCTTGAAGAAAATGACTCAAAGAAAGATGAGAAAAGATTTCAAGTATGCTTAATGATGTACGAACTGCTTACAAGACCTCTATTTATATTTGTAGAAGGTTGAGATCCTCGAGAAATGAGTGGTTTCTATGTACCAATCAACCACCACCAACACATGTCAAAAAGCCAACCTACTACGTTCTCCTCACCTCCCGAGCCCTTAGCCACCCCACGAGGGGCTATGATGTCACCCCCCCCCCCCCCCCTCCCTCATTGGCCCTTAGCTGTAGGGGCTAAAAGGCGCTCAATCAAACTCGACAATGGTTGGTGGTGCCTAATCACACCTAGTCGCTCATGGTAACAAGGTGTTAGGTGCCCAGCAGCATTGGGGAGACATGATGTTATGACCCCTCCCCCCACCCCCATTATCCCTCCCCGTAAGGGCTAAAAGGCATTTAACCAATGAAGGATAGCACCCAATAGTGGTTGGTAGTGCCCTTCCACACCTAACCGACCATGGTGGCTGGGGTGCGGGTGCCGAATGGCTCCCCATCCATCTAAGTGGAGAACTCCATGCTCCACCCCATCCTCCTCCCAACTTTGCACCTAAGGACCTTGAATTTTATATCCGTTTTTACTTTTTGACGCATTCCTTTAATTCTTTCTCAATCTTTGTGCCTTGGAATCCTATAGTTTACACCTTTTTTGCATTTTAACCCTTGAAGTCTTCACCTTTGCATTCCAACCCCTAAACCCTCCTCTTTGGCAGAATTCACACTCCAAACCTTCTTCTCTCCTTACTTAGGCCCCTAATCAACTTTGGGCAAATTATACCATGAACCTTGACCAAGGTCCAGCTTGCATTGTAAATCTTGATCCAAAATGACATTTAGATTATGTGTCTGCAGATTATGCGCTTGTAAATAAAGTAAAGACACATAATATGTTAACCACAGGCACATAGCAAGCACATTGATGTAACAAATACACGTGTAGTGTACTCGTTTACAATGTAGGGTCTCGGGCAGTTGAATATGAGGTCAAATGTCCCTAAGCTTAATTCTTATATAGTCCACAGTCCAAAAGTCTCTCTTTACAAGCATTTAATGCGCTATATATAGAAGTTTGGAGGGGACACATGCCGAGCGTCCGACATGCTAGCCACGTGTCTTCCATGCATCGGTTATGATAAAGGCGATCCCTTAATAGTTCCACGTGCCTCGAGATTCTTGACACCCGCGTAAAAATAATGTGATCATACAACGCAATCGAATTGCGCTTCATCTCTAATAGTTGGGTTCGGTGCTCAAGAACAGTCTTCCCGACCATATGTGATCGGGAAAGTCATCCCGGGTGGGAAGCACACCTTCTTCTGGCTAGAGGGACCCATCTCCCGATCAAGCTCGGGTCGGACAAAACATAAGATGATGGGATATGATCGAGAAATTGACCCCTTTGTCCCATGTACAAATACCGAGTACATGTATAATCCCTATCACACATAATATGCAGTTAACATATTATGTGCATGTAATTAACATATTATCTATATCTAGTTAAGAAATTATGTGTCTTCAATTTATTTACATACACATAATTTATTAACTAAAAGCACATAATAATGATAATATGCTAATGCAAACACATTATTTTATACTAGGATCCACAATGCAAAATGGACCATGATACATGGTATAACAATTGTCTATTTTGAGCCCAGACCCCATTCATCCAATCGTTATATTGTGGAACCGTGCCCACCTAGCAAGGTGGACACGGTTCCAAACGACGTCATTTTCATGTGGTTGAGTAACAGTTCTATTAGTGGCACCGTTATCCTTCATAATTTCTATACTGTAGATTCATAATTTCTATACTGTAGATTCATAATTTCTAAACCGTAGATTCATAATTTGAATATAGTAGATTCATAATTTCTATACAGTAGATTCATAATATCTGTACTACAGATTCATAATTTCTAAAATGTATAGTTATCAAATTATGAACATATAGTTTTGTGATTTGTGAATACAGAGTTCAACAATTGGGAATATGAACATCAAAAATTATGAACATATAACTCTATAATTATGAACATATATTTATAAAATTATGAACATATAACTCTATCACATGTTCACAAACATAATACTGTAAATTTATAATTTAAATACAGTAAATTCATAATTTCTAAACTGTGCGATTGCAAAAAGAGAAACGCTATTAACGGCAAGTGAAAAACATTTTTTTTAAAAAAAATAGAACGGCATCATTTTCAACAAAAATTGTGCCCACCTTGCAAGGTGGACATGGTTCCACAGCATAATTTCCATCAATTATTATTAGTATATTATATAAGTGGACTATGATCCATGGTATAACAATTGTCCATTTTTGCCCAGACCCCATTCATCCATCCATTAATATATTATTATATTATTATGAGAGTAAGTAATAAAGGTGAAGATGTAAACTAAAATAGTAATGAACTTCAAATATATTGATATGCTAATATGATCCACTTTGAAAGTGAAAGAATTGTGTTGATAGCGTGATCAAATTTGGAGACAATATGAAAGAAAACATCTTAAACACGACAAAGAAATTGCAATATCATATTTAGATGGTAAATACTGTTGTTGAGTTTACAGCAAATGTATAAGCTAGTTCATCAGTTCATGTAAATGGAAATAATACAGTATTCTACAACTCCATGTTATAATTCACTGGATTTCTATATCTCCCAACACCTAAACACTTCAAAACCCTCATCTCTAACCTTTCTGGAGGGAATAAAAGAATCATTGGTTCATTACATATTGTTTACAAAACATCATGAAAATGGTTAGAATTGCATGTATATATATATATATATATATATATATATATATATATATATATATATATATATATATATATATATATATATATATATATATATATATATATTCTTTTCAGGTCAGTGAATTGCCTGTAATTGACCAGTCACTCTGATGATATATAACCTGCAAGAATTTCAGTTCAAAAGAAAATCTCATAATGCATTGATCTAAAAGATTGATAAGGTTTGAAAAAGTTCCTAATGAATCTAGTTTGGATGGGGTGAAGTTTGCAAATGATCCATATTTACACTAAATTGCAATGGCTACTTCACTAAACATTCATTCATCAGAGCCAGATAAGTGCCAGCAAAAAGGATAAATGCATGATTTGAGATCATATCCATGAGGGTACAAATCATTCTGGAAAGGAAAGATGTGTTTACCCAATAATAACTTCAGCGTGGAAGAAGCGGTGCTCTCTCATCAGGTCCAACGAGATGGCTAGTCTGAAAGATAGCAGCAAAATGTGTGAGGGAAATAAAGAGAGAAGAAGACTTTAGGTGTATAAAAATATATAGTCTCACATCTTCATGTGCTCCAGCATTCATGTTTAAAAAGGATGAATCCTTTGACCTGCAGTAAAGAATGGAACAGTTTATCCCAATTAATGAATGCAGTATCTTACTTAGCAAAGGCAATCAAATCCATAACCAGCTTGGTTGGCGTGAGTGGCCGTGCACTTTCTTCCCTTAAGAGAGGTCGGGAGTTCGAACCCCCTCTCGTATGGAAAAATTAATCTGACCAGCACTTTGTCCCTTAATTGGACCGGCCCGGTGCAAACGGGGATTAGTCTGAGTATGGTACGAGCTTAAAGGTGCCTCCTATAGTTAGGGCCTGTTCAGGACACCTCGTGGTCTGACCAAAAAAAGGCAATCAAATCCATAAGACTGTAAAAGAATTGCACATTTCATTATTTGCCTCTCCATCTATCTTAAATTTTCCAATTAAGTATGCAGCCCAATATATGGTCTTGATATGAAGACTATGCAAAGAATTATTTTAACTCAGCTGAAAGATCTTCATTAAAAGCTCTTTCAAAAACAAAGCAGCATATAGTATGGATACATTAGTAACTTGACACAACCACACAAGGCAAGCATCTTCTAACACCAGTTCATCAAGAAGCTTAACATGTCTATAATATCCCATTAGGATCACAGACCATGATTCACATCATAAAAAGAATGCTGGAAATAAAAATAAAAAAGGAGGCAGAGAAATGGATACCTGAAGTCTTTCTGCGCATCTATGATTTGCAGATCACCATTTTTGTTCTCATCCTTGGCCTTTGATAATGATGAAAAGAACTGAAGAAATAATGTTAACTTTAGATAACATAAATTCAGAAATTTCCAGGGAGGAGGCTATAAAAATTCCAAAAAGAGTGATGAGGTAAACATTTTCTTGTCTTCGAGACTTTTTGAAAATGTAGCAAGAATTGACATTCAGGGGACTAGAAAAGTAAAACCTTCTACTGATTACCTGGTGCATTGAGATAAACACAATAGAGATTCCTAAGATAAAATTCATAGTCAAGGTATGGCCAAATAATAAGGCAGATGCTATTCCAGTAAAAATTGTGGCAACAGTTGATGAATACTTCTTCAGGATTGTATCTACATGATAAATAAATAAATAAATAAAGGACATTAAAGAGATTTAATAAGAATGGGAGGTCATACTCAAGGATTAGCGCTTTCATGTGTGAGAAATTTCAAGAAAATATTTTCTACCTAAAAATATTCATAAACAGCCTATGCAATGAATGAAAAATTGGGGTATTTTTTTTAATAAGAAATATTGAAAAGCAGCAAGGGGGTTGCAAGCCAAGTACATAGACATGCACTAACAAGAAAGACCCATTACAATATTCAGACTAACCCAAACCCAATTTTTTAAAAAGTTGAGATAGAAACTGTTCATGCAAATATTCTAGAAGGCAGAATAAAGGTTGGAGAAAGCAAAAATTCAGATAATCTCATTCATGGAATCATAGCAATCAGTACCTACGGATTCAAACTTCTTACAGACAGTAAAAAAGGATCTACAAGATTTATTTATGAATGAATGTGATGACAGATATCTCAACTTCAATGGATACTGAATGTCTAGAAAATGGTTACCACTTACCAGCATATTTGAAGAAGAAAGAGGACAAGATCCCTTGTGCAGCGTTATTGCAGATTAAAAGCATAGTGGCCCTTGAGTGTCCTTGTAAGATATCCAAGCTATCAGGCCCTGAAAACATTTTAGCCACCATTGAGCAACATATGAAGCAAGAAACTGTATGCATGTGTTTGAATTACCAAATAACCTAAGTAGAATCATGTATCAATGCTGGAGCCTCAAACAAGTGTTAGGACTTGAAAACCCTATAAGAAAAACTGTGTTTGAAGACATTGAAACAAACTAAGAGTAGAATTAAAGTTAGTAATAAGGGCAGGCCTCAAAAGACCTATAGCAAAAACTCAGGATGTAGGGCTCACAGGCTTGAGGTTGAGAGGTTGCTTGTAAGGTTCTCATTAGGAAAGAAGTTTGATGAGCTTGTTAGCAGACCGATCAAAGAGGGTAGGGTAGTTTGAAGTCAAAATGTTTCCTTGGGACAAAGACTCTGTAAACAATAGAAGTAAAAACCAAAAACAAAAAAAAAAAAAAAAAACAAAAAAAAAAAACAAAACAAAACAAAACAAAAAAAAAACAAAACAAAACAAAACAAAACAAAAAACAAAAAAAACAAAAACAAACTGTTTTGCCTAAATCAAGATGGATACAGTGCAATAGTTGGGACCAACGTCGCAATATTACCTATCTTTAAGTAGGTCACTTGGTAGGTGATGCTCTCCACTTTTGGCTCTCCTTTTCCCATGATCAACTTGGACCTTAACAAGTTTCCATATCTTTCACTTGTACAAACATTTCCCATTTATATTTATGGTCCCATTTTAGAGCCTTCTCTTTAGCCTCATTTGTTTGCAAGACCAAAATTCCCAAATGGATGATAAGAATGTTGAAAGAATCTATAACTTGTTTCAATCTCAATTTATAGCTGCACTATCCTATGGACCTATGCAGCTATTATATACAGAATGGAGAAATGAATGCATCCTCTTTAATTTTCAGCTCAGACACAAATTCAGAGAGGCAGAGAAAAGAGAGAGATATCAAAGCTTCATTTATGTTTAAAATGAATTAAGGGAAATCAACATTTTAAATTCAGTTTCTTAAGCTGAAGGGAGGATCTAATCACAAATTTATCATTACTATAAACATAGCATGATGCTAAAATTCACTTTCAATAGAACTTTGTGATGAAAATTTTATCATCTATACCTTTGAAAAGGGCAATTCCAAGTATACCAAGGAAATTGAAGAATGCACCATAGCCATACAAAAATAAATTCTGCAGGAAGAAATAAAACTCTTTACTGCAGCATGTAAAAAGTATCTGAATGACACACCAATCTGGAAAAACTCAGTAAGAGTGTTGATTAGCTACACCTCATGACTATGCAAATGAAAAAATTGAAAGAACAAAGAAAATAGTTGTGACTACAGGAAGCAAAAATACCAAGACTGCATAAATATTATTTTCATGAGATCTTTTAAATGGCTCTAAACTCGATGATGGAGCATATGCATAGTATCATGCACTCAAAGGTCTCAGTGAGAGATCTAACTACGGTACATTGAGTGATGTATCTGATGGAATTATACAGTAATGATCTCATAAAGCAGTTGTACACTTATACTATAACAGAAACTCCCTTTGCTGATTCCTCCCACCAAACAAAAGGCACCAAATAAGAATACAGAAAATCAAATTGCACCTGAAGATAAATGCTTGTGTCAAACTGGCTCTTCAAAGCATACTCATTGTAAACTGAAGCCAACGATGGAACAGTAACCTGGAATTATTACATTATTTCAGTACCCACTCAATTTGTCTAAAGCTTTTATTGAAAGGAAAGATATAAAATTTAGAAAAGAGTAATGTCGAGCAAAAAGGGCACTTTAATGATTAGCAGAAAACAGAATGTGTGCTTTATATTGGAAAATGAAACTTTTGCATTATATTATGCAATCATAAAAAAAATATAATTCAGCAAAGAAACAACAAATTTTATGCATGTGATAGTGATACTCTTTGGACAAGTGTCCAATCCCCCTACTCGTCCATTCTGGTTTTTCAAGGAAAATAATGATGCCTGTATGTTGAGAAATGAGAAGTTCAGTAATAATTTTATTCACAAAATAAGGCCCTGCATACCATACGTCAGTTGGCTATTAATTACTTGAAAACATATTACTGCCTTGAAGCAGATATTCAACAATTAACTTCAAAAAGCTTCCCATCTGGGCGTTCAAATACCCCCTCTAATTATGAGTGGATGTATCTGTCTATAACCTTACTCCTTTACAAAATAGGAATACAAACAAAGCTTTGAGACATGATGCAAGTTGGCATGAAAAGTGCCTGTCTAGCAACTATACATGGAAAATAAGAGAGTAACAACAGAATGACAAAGTATGGAACATTGGAATCATATGTTCTTGCTCACAGGCTGAAATTAAGATACAGAAGCTTCAGAACTAAAAAGATAAGAATATGCTTACAAAAATCAGTGTATACAGGTATGCTCCTGTTGCTACCGGAAGACCTAAAGCTGTAGTGCCAGCTGGCAGAGACCGAAGCTGATTCACGCTAATCCCAATAAGCAAAAGAGCAAGGGCTTCCCACTGTTACAAAGGCAACTATAAAATCAAGAGCTGGTAGCAAGTTAACATGGAAACATAGAAGGCAGAGTGCTTCATAATCTATCATGAATGCAAATTACAATCACTCCCCTTAAGCGGACCAAATATACATGGCTTGCATAGCTCACCTGAATTATGGAAAAGCGTCGTCTCATGATTATCTTTAACAAAACTGCTATAACCAAAACCTGCAAGTTTGACCAGTTATCAGAACAATCTAATACATAACCATCCTTGATGAGAAAAATCAAGATTACATAATGCAAAAACAAAAAATACAGCATCCTCAAATGTAAACCATGATTGAGACATTACAGCATCAGAGGAAGAGAAGCGAAACAAAAATATAAACTATGGACCTACTTTGTTTAAACAACTGAAAAAGAAGAGGTAAAAAAGCATTATTGTTTTACAAGATTGCCGGAGCATCATGATAGAATAGAAACTGGCATCCAATGAGAAAAATGAAAAGCAATCTCACAAAGTTTCCCAACAAACATAAATCATTAAAATACCTTCAGATTACTCAGCATTTTAACTGTTGCAGGGTCAAAATATAGCTGCACAAAAGATAGATACATAATACGAAGGTGCCAGATGAGAATTTAATCTCAAATCACAGTTTAACTCTTTTGAGATTAAATAAAAGAATAACCAATTGACAGAAAAGGAGTAGTTTATTAGTTGAAGCAAGAGCTAGTGTAATCTATGCTAATGCATTCTGGGGGCATGAATATCACAGAAAAAGAAGAGCACAAGGCGCAGAAGTAGACATGGAAGTGGACAATTAAATGAGCTAGTTGCCTTGTTGTATTTGGAATAAACAAGCTGTATTGTGTCTTAAACTTTATATTAGTTGGTAATTAGAATAGTTATGAATTACTATTAGCCTAGGATTCCTTGTAATCAGCCCCTATAAAAGATAAAAAGATAGAATTATTTGGAATAATAGACAGGCAGAAATTTAATCTCAATCCTGGGAATAAGTGAGTTTGGATATCAAGCAAACCCATCTATACTTTCTTGTTCAGCAGCTGTTCTTTAGTTATTTTCTTTATTCTTGAGCATGTGATGGGAGCTTATAACATATGCTTACACACTTCTCTAACATTAACTAGTTACACATAAGACCACATCAAAGTAAAATTTCTACAGGAAAGTCAGCATGGCAATTGTAACTTGTGAATGAAAAGAAACTCAGCAACTGGGTTGCCAGGACCCTTTCACTTTACCCTACAGATGTCCAAGAAAGAATTTTAAACATACCTGCATAATGAATTTCAGATAGTTATTAATAGCATAAAGTAGAGCTGGAACTGCAAGAAGAGCATTGTTGCGAGCTGCCTACAGTCATATAGAGGAAACTGCATTATTTTTTCCACAAGTACCACTGAAAATTTTACCCAAAACATCCAAGTATCCTACTACTAAGCTAGCTATACAGAAAGGAGACTGGAAAATTTTTTAAAAGGAAAAGTCATAGCTTCAACTTCAAAATTGATGCCCACTCAGAACAAAGCCACAGGTAAGCATTAGCCTCTAGATGCAACAACTAATCAACAATAGTAATTGATATGTCACAGATCTCCAGCGTAACATTCCAACAACCATTAATGATGAACACAGAATGTTGAACTATAAAAGTTCACCATGCTTTTAGATAGTGCAAAAAAAAAAAAATAAATAAAAAAAAAAAAAAAAAAATAGTGACGTACATACAAAAATGAGATTACTGGTGCAACTCCTTTCACTCTAGCTTCATTAGTAAAATCTTCTTTTCTCATAAAATACCAAAGAAATTTCAATATTACCAACCCTGACCTGGAAGAATGTTGAAACTGATAAAAGAGACTTTTCCCCAGCTTTCTGTTGTCGAGCCTGAAAATGATGTAACATTTTCTTTTAAAGAAAAAGCAGGAATAGCTGAATACTATATCAGCTCCTGTATAGGCAGAATCAAACCTCAGAACTCAGGAACAACTTAAATATTACCACTGCTTAACAACCTTTAGGTCTATACCCTAAAGAAGAGACTAGACCTGCATACTTCTACAACCACAGTACACATCACATTGAAATGCAATGAAGCCTTCTGGAAATAAGGGCGAAGGGATAAGCCCTATGTCATCCCATGGTGAATTAAATTTCTCAGGCCCCAATACACTTCATTAACATATTAGCCAAAATTAAGTAGTTAGTTCTGGAATTGATGAGAGAATATAGCTCTTCTCATTTAATTAAGTAATCAAAGAATCAAAAAGTACCTGGAGACAGAGCATCACCACAGCAAAGACAACTTTCGTGATCTCAGTCAAAAAATTAACACTAACTGGACTAAACATAAATTTTCCATCCACTTTTGACATAGATACTAGTATAGGCTGCAACAAAGAAAACAAACAATTTAAAAGATTAAAAAACATATGGACATGCATAATTTATTTAACCAGCATTGATATAGCTCCTAACAGTTATAAGAATAAATCTTTATCTTGATGTCACAGATCAATTTTAGTCCAATATGTTGATCTGGATGTGGCTTTTTTGTTCTAGTGGTACTAGTAATAATTCTGATCCTGGTATTTCTAAATATTTTAGTACAATCCCTATCAAGATTGATGATGTTTTAGCAAAAATAGTTCAGTTTGCATCATACCCCAAGTTTTGCAAATTAAGAGTTTGCCAGAATCCAGATTAAAACTTAAAGTTAGCCAAACAAGATCTAGTTCAAAATAAAATCACCATTTCAATAGATATGAAAACTAGGCCAGATCAGATTATGCGAACTGCTAAACATAATTACGCCCTAGGCATTTAACCTGATTGATGAGAATAGTTAGGTGCGCATTACCAAGCAAGAGAGGACCTCAATTAAATACATCAAAAAAAAAAAAAAAAAAAAAAAAAAAGAGTGGCAGCTAAAATTCATTGGTATACCTGCAAGCCCACCAAGATACAATCACCGACGACCAACAAAATGTTAAAGGCGCGGGTTTTCAAGGAGACAACGCTGCGGTGCCGATCATACGCCTTGGACACCGCCCTCGTATTGGGAGACACCCCCAATTTGGAGTGGCAAACACTGCACTCCACCACGCCTCCAACGCCTTTAACATTCATACTCCTCAGCTGCAGGAATCAATCCCAGTCGAAGGAAGAAAATACAGAGAATTGAATTGAGCGAGATAGGGGTGAAACAAGAGTCTTCTTCTTGCCGGGCGGCGTCGCTATGAAATTCACAGAAGTGGGAAACTGTTTCAAGTGCAAATGGGAGCAGGCTTTGATGGCGGAAACGCAAGGTACAGTATTGTAGATACTGTTGAGGTCTCAGCGTCGTTCGCCCGACACGGCGAGGGAATGATAATGATTCCCCATTTCCCCGGGTTTTGTATGCAAAACACAAGTTTAATGACAAAAAAGAAAAACTCTTTTATTCCTTAAACTCTATTAAAATTTATTTGGTGCATGATATTTTATTACGTTTTAACATTTCTTTAATTATAATCTTTTTTTATTCTTGACATTACATTTATAAAATAAAAACAACTTGATTTTAACATTTACGGCTATCGACAAACCTAGCTAAAAGTTAAAAGTTGAAAACTTAAATTAGAAGCTGAAAACTGAAGAGTTATTAAGCTAGCTGATTATGCTTTAAAAGTGTTTGATAAAATTAACTTTTTTGATAAGATGATAAATGTAAAAAGACTAAAAGAGACATCTTTAAATAACTTACACCACGAATCTTCCATTGCATGATCAATGGATTTATTACGAAATTTTTATAATCTGAGTTCTCCTACAAAAGAAATGAAAATAATAAGTTTACAGCCTAACACCAAAATATAATTATGTTTTAATCTTAAGAATCTATAATACAAACCTTGAATTTTTTTTTCTCCCATCATTCATCTGAACCACTAGTCTTATTTGTACTAGGATCCCACCCTAAACCAGTTTCTTAACGTTTCGGTTGCTTCCAAGTTCTCCCTTCTTTTTTCATAGCATCCCACTTATTCTTTAAACTTCTATGTGCAATTTTCCGTTTGACGGTAGTTTCACACTCTTCTTTAATCTCTTTTCATTTCATTAACTCACGTCTATGCTTTCGAATATATTTGATATAAATCTCACAAAAAAAACAACACATCCGTATCAATTGTTATACCGTGCACCATGCGGCACATAGCACTGTGCGCCCCGCGCCTCCCAAAACAACGTCGTTTTGTTAAGTTAAAAAAATTCTCTGTTTCGAATGCACATAAACTTTTAACAGAATACACATAAATTCATAACAAAATACACATAATCTAACATAATACATAATACACATAAACTTTTAACTGAATACACATAATGGGGTTTGGTTAACATAATACACATAAACTCTTAACTGAATACACATAAACTCATAACACAATACACATAAACTTTTAATTGAATACACATAATGGAGTTTGGTTAACATAATACACATAAACTTTTAACTGAATACACATAAACTCATAACACAATACACATAAATTTTTAACTGAATAAACATAATGGGGTTTGGTCTGTTCGGACAGACGGAGTGACGTCAACATGAAACGTGCGCGTTTTGTGCCTGAGCGCACATTGCTATGTGCACCGTGGGGCACGATATAAATTGCCCGTTCGTATTCGTTGGTCCACTTAAAATTCTCTCCATCCATATTATCATTAGTTGAAGCCATATTGTGAAATTAGAAATAACAATAATAATAATAATAATAATAATAATAATAATAATAATAATAATAATAATAATAATAATAATAATAATAATAATAATAAGATAAAGTTGCAGTTTAAGAAAATATTGAGGTCTGATTTCAAAAGGATTTAATAATAATAATAATAATAATAATAATAATAATAATAATAATAATAATAATAATAATAATAATAATAATAATAATAATAATAATAATAAGCTAAAGTTGCAGTTTAAGAAAATATTGAGGTCTGATTTCAAAAGGATTTAAAGATGCTGGAAAGTGTATATTAATTTGTGTTATTTGTATAATGACTTTAATAATACAAATAAATAAGTTTATATATATATATATATATATATATATATATATATATATATATATATATATATATATATATATATATATATAATTTATTTATTTAATTATCTTATTTATCAATGTGTATTGTTAATTAATCGAAATACGTATTAATTGTAGTTTGTGTATTGTATTTTTTAGGAATAAGGGTCAAATAGGCCATCGAACTGCACCCGATAAAACAATTAGGCCACTGAACTTAAAAAACCAACAATTAGGTCCTTAAACTAATCAATTTCAAACAATTTTTTCAATTTGAAGGTTTCCAACAGGTCAACAGGTCATCCTTCCAAATTAATTATTTTTTAAAATTTAAATTTTAAAAATTAATTAGTTTTAAATTAAACTATAAAAAAAAAAATCTAGTTCCGGCCGGAGACGGTAGTCTTCGGCTGGATTCCATTTTTTTTTTAATAGTTTAATTTAAAACGAATTAATTTTTAATATTTATTTTTTTAAAAAATAATTAATTTGGGAGATGACCTGTTGACCTGTTGGAAACCTTCAAATTGGAATAATTGTTTGAAATTGATTAGTTTAGGGACCTAATTGTTGGTTTTTTAGGTTCAGTGGCCTAATTGTTTTATCATGTGCAGTTCGATGGCCTATTTGACCCTTATTCCTATTTTTTATTTTTTTTTAAGTATTACATGTTATATCCGACCTGAAAGAAGTGATAGTAATCATTCATCTTCAAATGGTAATAAATAAAAACATTTTCTTTTATCTATTATAACATTACAAATAAATCTTGAATATTTATCCGTGCATCGCGCGGGACAAATACTATTTATTATTATCTATATCTACTATCTACTATCTACTATACTAATAAGAGTCCAAGAGAGTCAGGCCTATAATGGGTAGAAAAAATGGCGGTCAAATTTTTTAATCAAATGAATGGCTCAGATTGATCAGATTTTAATTTTATCAAAAGTATCAAACAATTATTCTTTGAAGTATTCAATTCTTTTCATTTTCCTACTCATTTTCTGAAAAATGAACCAAACACACAAAGCCAGCTTTTCGTTGTGTAACCAAACACCGGAAAGGAAAATGTTTTCTGGAAAATGGCTCATTTTTCAGAAAACATTTTCCAGATGTCATTTTCCTACTTTTCAAACGGAGCCTTATTGACAAAAAAGAGTATTCAAATCACACAACAAATTGAAGTGGGAAACTACCTCGCAATGTCCTTGTTTGGCAATCAGCAGTTAGCTCTTCAATATTAGTATATATTTAATATTTTATGCCCTAATTTTTATTTGCTCTCCTTATGTCCCGTATTTGGTTTCAACCATACCTATACAATTATTTTGTTGACAATTATAATCAATCTGGACTATATTATCTTGCATTTGTAAACTTAGAATTACCTATTTAAATATGCAAATTCAACATTCAATTATCTATGCATGAAAAATTTCAATATAATCTTGCTTTGATATACTTTAATGTATTTATCTAAAAAAAAAAAAATATTGGGCATTATCCCAATCGCGCAATACGCGTAAAAAAACTAGTATATATATATAAGTAAAATCCTCCTAGCCAAGTTTTCCCCTCAAAACTTAGGACATTTCTGTAATATCATTTATTTTTTAATAATAATAATAATAATAATAATAATAATAATAATAATAATAATAATAATAATAATAATAATGTTATTACCTTAATTACAAATTATTATAGTTTCCTTTTGAATTAGTATTTTCCACCTATAAATACAAATTATACTTTCATTTGCACTCTATATTGTTCTCCGGTTCATGATTTCATTTGATTTCTAAATTTTTATATGGTTATTTCTGAATGCAGCCTGCAAAGCTAGGGGCTTAGATCTTATAGTTCATTTCAAGGTAATAATATGATTTCGATAGGTGTAAACTATGTTCACGTTTTCATCTTTATTTCGATTTGTTAGGGGTTTGTATATCAGGATATGCTGTTACAGTGTGTCCAAATGTATGTTCAGTTACTAGTGTAAATGTATGTATATTTGGGGTATATGTTATTTGATTTTGACATTTTTTTCTTTAAATACCCTGAGATCAAAGTGTTGCATTCTGCATGTTGGATTGGTTGTTTTCATCAATTTATTGTGATGTACGATCTGCTTACAAGACCTCTATTTATATTTGTAGAAGGTTGAGATCCTCGAGAAATGAGTGGTTTCTATGTACCAATCAACCACCACCAACACATGTCAAAAAGCCAACCTACTACGTTCTCCTCACCTCCCGAGCCCTTAGCCACCCCACGAGGGGCTATGATGTCACCCCCCCCCCCCCTCCCCCATTGGCCCTTAGCTGTAGGGGCTAAAAGGCGCTCAATCAAACCCGACAATGGTTGGATTAGTTGTTTTCATCAATTTATTGTGATTTTTTGTGTCGTAATTACCTTATTAAAAAGCAGGACCTCTAGCATACTGTGAATGAGTTTCAACAAAAAGAAATTGAAGAGGAGGAGACTTGGTAACAGAACCCTAATGTTTTAGTTTTTATGGTAGAGCGTAGAGATGTGATCGAGGATGATTATGACGGTGATTTTGATAATTTTGTAAGATTTTATGAAACTTAGAGTTAGTATGTTGACTTCGAGATTTGTACATGTCATTCAAGTTTCTATGTTTTTTTTTTTTAACAAGCAGCGTTAAGGATTTACGTGGTTCGTTGGGCAAAACAACAATCAAGCAAAAGCTAAATTGAATTGAGGGGTGAAGACATTATAGATATAGGCCATTTCTCATCCTACTTTGTCTTTTTCTAAAGAGAGTGGAAATGTGAGGGTGAGGAAAGAGAAAAATGAAATGGAGAGATTTTTTTTTTTTTTACTAGAAGTTTCTATGTTTTCCTTATACAAATTTATAATTTTAAATTTATATTAATAAATGATTATTGTAAATTTATATTAATACAATGTAATAGAGTCAGTAGCATTAAAAAAATGATTTTTAAGACAAGTATAATTTATTTTATATTGTAGATATATTACTTTTAATAATTTTGATTTAATAATATTATACCTTAATTATAAAAATTCTACATAATCATTTTAGTATTAAATATCATACAATAATTACCATAAACAATGTTTAATAATTGCCAAATTCTATTAGGCAATAAAAATTTACTATTATAAAATCTTTTGTAATATGGACACATTATTTTTAATTATTTCAATTTAATAATATTATATCTTATGTATAAAAATTCAAAATAATACTTTTAGTACTATTGAATATTGATGACTAACAATTATCT